TCCAGAACCTCCTTGAAAACAGGGATGGTGCAAACATCCAAATGCTTGTTTGTATTTTCTCCCCATGCCTGCAGTGAAGATGCAGATTTGTTCAACCCATAACAATAAATTTCGAAAAGAACTCAGCAAGCTCAGAGACATGCAAAAGACACAAGTTTTTATGCATTTATTTCTCTTTGTGACCAGGTCACCCCACATGACTGCACTAGGCATGTTTTCTTGCGCTCGCAAACAAATCATGGGAGAAATCAGCAAAGTTAAACAACAGGATGCTGTAGATACTTCCTGAAAGCCACATGAGCTATAGAATTTACCGATAAAGTCAAAGCCAAATCCACAGCAATCCTTGCATTTACTGGGCTTTGCAGAAGGCTTCAAAGCAATGAGTCAGATGATAAATGCACTGCAACACTAGACACAGTGCTGTAGACAGAGACAGGTCTTTCGCTTTAATTTTTAATTTCCATTTTCTGTGGGTTTAGACAAACCACTGACATTACTTTAGCATAATACTTTGTAATGAATCAATACTTTAATTTAATAATGGTATTCTGTTGTCAACATATAATATATCACATAATGTCCTTGTATAGTTGCTAAAAAAATATGCCCAATAAAATGCAAGGCTTTGCTTCTGCCAGTGATCACAGCTTAAATCAACATAATGAGAATCTGTACAGCCCCCGAAAGATTTTTCGTAGGGATTAAAAGGCACCATGGAGTCATTTCAGCCATATCCCTTCCTCTTATCATACCAGTGCTGTGAAAGTTCTCCCAGGTCATGCTATTCCAACAAATACTTCAACTAAAGGGAAATATATCTGAACCGAATCATCGTACATATCTATGAGTGCAGCCTACATATAAGCATTCAAATTCCTTATGATCTCGATGAAAAGCGTGCTAGTTCCCAACTATAACGAGGATTATAAATGTAAAAGTGAAATTAAGCCCAACGTCATTCCACCTAATTGAACAGAGGAAAGAAGTTATAATCATAATAAATGAGAAATAAAATTACAAATACTTACGCTTTAGGGTATATTCTCAATTTGTTATTTTGTATCTTGGCATTAGCTTTGGTGCTGACAAGTATATAAGGTGGAAAACACAAATCTAATCACATCTGTGGTACACTGACTCATGGTATGGGAACTGAAAGCAAGTAGAATGAGGACAAGAAGGAAATGCTTTCAGAGTTCCCAGTTCAATATATTTTTCTTTGTTCCACGGCCTTTGATGCTTCATAGATTATTAATCTATGCCATATTAATCTCACTCAGTGCTACAGGCACGTGTTCTAGCATCACATGTGCACTCCTTGATCCCAATGACAGCTCACGATCAGAACGCAAAGCGCTCACAGATACTTGTCATTCGTTGGCAGGATGCTTCAGAGCTCTGGAAAGAGTAGGTCTGGTTTTACTACAGTTTGGCACCTCCCACTACACCCTCCAGTTGGTGAAAACTCCGCAGTTCCATGTAAGTGTCATCTTTAATGTGAAAAAGATATTTGAGTCAGTGCAAAATAAAACAAACAGCTTTCACCAAAATGTCAGTGCTGGTAGCAGTTCAGCTGCCAGATGCTTGTTACTTGAACCCATGCCGTGCATAGCAAACAGACAGAGATATGACTAGGACAAACGACTGGACTAGAAAATCTTTAGCAGGAAATCAAAGTGTGTTCAGGCTGCAGTCTGGACACAAAAGAAGGTCGCAAATGGACTTCACAAGATCTATTGATTAAGATTTCTGTAACATCTCTTTCCCTGGTTACAACGCATTACTTGAGCCCCACCTGCCTGACCTCAGCTCTCTGCATTAGCCTTTTGTCATAGGAACACCACAGAAACCACGGGGTATTTCACAGCTGAACACACCTATAAGTACAACATCTCAATTTAAAGATAATAACATTATTGAAAAACTCAGAATACCATGAAAAAAATGCACAGTGGAAAAAATCAGGGCATGACACCATAGAAATGAAACCAATGGTTTGATAATAATAAAACCTCACCGGCGCGTTCCAGTCACTTGGCTGATTCTGCTCATCTGTGGGTTAGGCTATCCTAAATCAATGATTGATTTTCACGTTGAATGCTGGGAAATGAGGATAAAAAGCCACAATCTGTACATGAACATGAGAAACACACGCAGGCACACAGTACAGAGAGAAAGCCGATGAGTCAATGGCTTTTGCTTAGTCAGAACCTGAAGGATCTTCAACGAGAACTTGCAAAGCAGCTCACAGATAGCTTGACTTTGAGTGAAACACAACCAAGAATTATTGTCATTATGCACACCCACAAAAAAGTGAGAGATTTCACAACATCTCCTCAGCTGAATACACACACAGAGAAAAGGCTTTACCGGCATCGACTTCAGGTGGGCAATCATCCGGCTTTCTGAAGAAATAGCTCCCAATTTGTTCTCCATTTCCTCAAGTCACATTTTGAGCCCATTTTAACACGTTGAAGCAATTAAATGAACTGCCACATGAATAATGACAGCTGCTTCTTTTCTTAGAAGCCACGAAAGGCTAAATAACCCATAACCCCTGCCTCCATCTGTGCCTTGCCAAGCCGGCGGATCACACAGGGCTGTGCACTGCTTTGAAAGCTGGGGCATCAGATTTGTCATGTCAGATTTGTATTCACGCGACACAACAGATCCACGACTTCCATTTCAACAGCCACCGGAGCAACGGCCACATAAGGACCATGCAGCTGAATTTACGAAACAAGGATGCACTTGTTTAAAAGAATACCCTTCCTTGCTAAGAGCTGTTAGTCAGGGCAATGCGAACTCAGTGGCAGACGCAGGTACTTGTTGTAGGGTCACACCATGGCAGCACTTCCTGGCAGGATGAATACATTACTTGTCCCTCTCCCCTCTGATAGATACTGCAGCCTCAGAGAATTTCACATGTATCCTCGGACAGGCTTATATGCATCAGGGAAATACAGGTGGCTTTAAATAAATAAATTATGCCACATGCCCTACAAATTCAAATCCTTTTTTATGTAATCTATTTAATCTTCCATTAATGATAATCTCTGCTATCAATGTGCCCAAACAGGGTCAATTTCTGCTGGATTTGCACCTCTTGCATTTCATCCTATAACCCAGCTGTACTTAATGAAGGGAAACACCCTGCTGTAAAAGGTATTAGCAGGCTCCTAGAAACAAGGAACAGTTACAGGACTGTAAAACTGCCAGGAACATTTCAAGGCTCTCTTCTTCCTTTGTGCACCCTGAACGCAAAAGAGTTCTGCCAGTGACAATAATTTATTAATAAGGATTTTACTGCCTTCTATACCTTTTGTAAGGAAGCAACGGAGATGGGAGAAAATTGCAGCAGACTTCTCTTCCAGACCCAAAGAGACACAAAAAGGAGAAGGGCAAAGCTCTCAAGGCAGCTTTTAAATCCTGACAGGTCCCACCCAGGCTGGAAGCCCAGCAGCATTTCAGGCACACACGTCACTGCAGTTTGAAATGCCAGTAAGGTACTGCTGCACACAGGATTTGAGATCAGAGACGCAGATTGCAAATCATACTTCCTTCACACGTTTTGTTTCCTTGTTTGCTTTTTTTTTCCAAGTGTTCTATACAGCTCCATATACCTCAGTGAGACAGCTAAGGCTCAGATCCACAAGAGATTTTCCCTCTGGTACCACTGAAGCTCCTCTGATTGCAGCTAGAGAGCAACCAGGCTCAGCCACACCTGTGAGAGATGGCTCTTTCTCAATTGCAGTAGCAGATGCTGGGGAAGCAAGTTACTGCCTGGTTTGCTGCTCTGATTTAGTGGCAGTTTTAATCGTAATCATTCCCAGCCATCCACCACCTGCACGCCCACCCACACGTACACATCCAGTTTGCCACTCTTCTCCCTGTTCTGCCAATTCACAAAATCAGTTTGCTGCACATACACTCTCTGTCCCAGGGTTCATCAGCAAAACAGATGTAATGGACAAAATTAAGTTTAAATGACCAGCTACCCAAATCCTCTACTGGAATAAGCATGCATTAGTATGCAGAAGGGGAGCTGCTGGCTGTACAAGCAATCCAGGTGGTGCATGCGATCGAACTGACACTGCTAGAAAAAGCAACTAAGAGTTAATGGAGAACACAGGCTCCTCATTTCCTACGTTGCATCTGAAAAAGCACAGAAGACTCTAATACAGTACAATTGAGCATTTCACTAAATAGCACCACACAGAAGTTCCTCTGGCACGGACTGCATTTGTCCTAAATAACCTTTACGAGAAGCTGAAAGTTGATGCACCCAACTCAAACGAAATTTCGGACCGAACCCAAATCCTTCGGTTTGTGCCTCGCAGTGCAGGAAGAGCCAGACACAAAGAGCAACTAGGGAACGAGCCACCTCCTCCGCTTAAAAAAAAATAGCCAGTCACGGGCTGAGGCTGCAGACGGCACAGTACTGGCTGGAGCCAGAGAGCCCTGGGCTGCTGTGAGCATTCGGGAGCGCATCGGTGCCACTCTCCGGCGGGGTTCCTCCCAGCAGCCCAATTCGGCGCCGGAGACAGCACCCCTCCGGGGCTGAGGGCTCCTTCGGTGTGAGCCGGCTGCTGGACGGCCAGAGAAACTCCGCACCGGCAGAGAAACGCAGCCCGCCCCGAGCTCCCATTGCTCACTGTCAGCAGTGTCGCTGCCCCTCCTGGCGGGCCATCACTTGTCCCCTTGCTTCCCACACCTCCTAAATGCCGCCCTCACACCAGACTAGAAGGGAAAGCTTTTCCTATGAACCGCAGCGAATTCCAGCCGCCTCCCACGGCTGTTCCTGCCTCGACGCCCGCCACACGAGCGGGGAACAGGCCGAGAGACAGCCAGGAGAAGCAGAACTTGGCGCTCTCCGGCCTCCCGCAGGGCACCGCGCGTCCCCCGAGCTGCGATAGCCCCGGGACGGACGGCGCCCGATGCCAATGACCCGACCGGCGGGAGGGGTGTGCCCGAGCGGACCGGTGCGCTTCACTTACGGATTTTGGGGGTCGTGGTGGTCTCCGGCGTAGTAGTGGTAGATTCCTGGAAGGGAGACAAGGTCCAGGAGGGCGCCGAGTCGTGGACGTAGATCTTGTAGGAGGAGGTAGCGTGTGCCGCAGTGGGCCAGGCGGGCAGCGGCGGGGTGCTGGGGGTGGCGGGCGGCGGTCGAC